TCCGCAAGGGACGGGCGCGGGTCTGGCGGACCACGGTGTTCTAAGGGTGTTTCCATTGACGAATCACGGATTTTAATTTTATGAGTTTTATAGTAAAAGTACTTCACAGGACATACAGTACTGAACGTTTAATATTTATTGTTTGTAAACATCAGAATTATCAACATCGACGGTTTTTTGGTGTACTAAGTCTAAAAAAGAGTAAATTCTTATTGAACTACAATGGAAATACCAATGACGCTACAGCTAAGGCAGCCTGCGCGCACGCCAGCAGCGCGCCCCGTACGCACGCATGCGCACACTGACGGCACGTGGCCTTGTGTTGGACATACATCGCAAGGGTCTGCTGTTTTGTCAGGCGGTTCTTATTATTGTGTAGTGTGTAGTTAACAACAACATAAAATATCAATGGAGTAAACTATTAAATTCCCAGTATGTATTGTGCATTTATTTATTTATTTATTTATTTATTTTTTGGGGGGGTTTTCTCCGGTACCGGGAACCGAACTCACGACCTTGCGCTTGCCAGGCAGGCGCTTTTGCCGAGCTAAATCCCCAGCCCCATGTGCATTTAAAATAAACATCAACATTTTCATATCAGCTGTGTGCTTGCTTACAAAACCTAAGATAACATCAGAAATAAATTCCTGTATGAACTACAATGAAAAAACCAATAGAACTCTACCACAGAAATGAGCTTGGCTTCAACACACACCCACGGCAGTCTTCACACATGACAACTGCATGTTCCACACCTATCACTTACACGGGCAGCACAGACGCTTCGTTTGCCTGTACTTTCTTGTAGGGCACAGGTGCCATCTTTCTGGTTTTCCTGTTCCCGTAGAAGGTCTTTGCCAGTTCACCCGTCAGCTTACCAGTGTGCTCCAGTTTTTTTGCTTAGTTCCCTGAGCAGAAACATTTTGGGTTTCCTCTGCTGTTTGTGATCTCTTATGAGCTCCAGTCCCAGTCCTCTAAGAAAATTTCTCTGTGATACTTGGCACTTGCTATTTTCAAACTATTTATGCCACACGTTGAGGATCGAGTAAAACATAGCCACTGGCCAATGCTTGTGTTTCAGGTGACATCACAGCTGCTGCATAACTCGTCATCAACATCTACTCCACCTTCGGTTTTGTGGCAGAAGGTTTCCATCTCAGGCTTCTGTTTGGTTGAGGCTTCCCCATCAGTATTTCCATCATGGTAAAATGTTGATATCGGCAGTACTGGTTTGTTTGTTCTTTGCCATATAGGCGATCAATGTTACATCTTTCTGAAACCCAAAGATGGTACTATACAATTCTCTGTTTTGAAATTGCAACATTTCATTTGGAATTTCTGCTTTGTCTTGTGTACAGTTCCTTGCCGGTCAACTTGTGCTCTGTTAGCAAATATAACATCAATTGGAAACTGGTAAACCAGCTGTCCAATGTCACATTCCAATTAGTGTGGGAGATGGGAGCAGCAAGTCTATTCACAACATCATTCAATTTATTACCATAGGAATAAGGACTTGATGCTGAGTTCCAGGATAAGTGTCTAAACTGAAAGCACAATAATCTTTGCATGTACAAGGGCAGAAATTTTTATGCCATATTTTGACCCGTTGCTTTTCATAAGTCTTTTACATTCCTGTGATCACCATGAGAATCCCTGCTAAGTACAGCAGACCTGTGAATGCTTTCAGTTCCGCTCGTGAGGTGTCACGGTAAGTACATTTTGGAACATGGCTGTTGGTGCTTACTTGCATTTCAGCCTTTTTACAGCCACAGCATCTTGTAGCATTTTGTCTGTTTCCGTTTCCAACACTGAATGGCAGTGCTGGCTTTCTGTCCAATACCTTTCACCCCAGCAGAGACCCTCACTATATTTTTGGACCTAATTCTAACATTGGATTGTTCCATTTGGTTGCATGGCCATTTCACCATTTAGACCAGTCAAATACATACTCACACTGCTGTTCTGTCATCTGAATTGAGGGCTGTGTTTCTGTGTCTGCATCACTTGATTCTTGCTCCATTTCACTGTCACAGGCTCACGTAGCCAACATCAAAGTCATCCTCATCATCTTCGTCTTCGCACACCCACACCACTGTTCTGTTATGAAGCATGCATTTTGCCATAAAGGGTCATCATCGTCCATACATGAGTAATCTGATGGTTCATTTTTGACCTCTTCCTAAACTTGCAAATTTGGTTTTTCATGTGCCACTGTACTAAACTGGGCTACTTCTACCAGAAAAAAAAATCAAAAGAAAGCCTTTTTTTTTTTTTTTTTTTTTAAGCAAGTCCTGGAGTGGTGTGGGTCTGTTGGATCCTCTGTGATGCTCAGGTAAACGTGTAAAACCAATTACCTGGAACATAAGGATGGGTCTAAATCCCCTTTTGCACTTGTGCACACACCTTCCCGTTTGTCACACCAGGTGGGTAAACACATAGATTGCTTCCTGTATCCCTCAGGAAAAGACACTGAGATGCACAGCCATCTACTATAACGCCAAAGTACAGATTTACAGTAGAAAAGTAAGGGGTGGGCCTCCTGAACCCAGGCTTCTAAGAGTCAGATCACAAAGCATAGAAAAGAGAAAAGAAACATGGTTTCCCAGTGGAAATGAGTCCTCTGAAGTTGAACTTAAAGAAACAGACCTCTGACATATTTTAGAAGGAATTTAAGCCATCATCTTAAATATGCTCAGCTAAAATGGAACATGCAAAGGCAACTACATGAAATTAGGAGAATGATTTATGAACAAAATATCAGCAGAGAGATTATAAAAGGACTGAGTGTGGTAGTGCACCTATGTAATCCCAGCACTGGGGAGGCTGAGGCAGGAGCGTTGCTGGGAGGTCAAGGCCAGAATGGGCTAGGTAGTGACACCTGTCTTCAAAAAATATATAAATAGACCAAATCTAAACGAAAAGAAACTACAAAAAATTTGGAGCTAATAAATACAGTAACTGAATTGATTAATTCACTGCAGGGATTCACCAACAGATTTGATCTTTTTTGTTGTTTTTTTTTTTCTTTTTTTCCCCCCAGTACCAGGAGTCGAACTCACGACCTCGTGCTTGCCAGGCAGGCACTGTGCCGCTGAGCTAAATCCCCAGCCCCCAGATTTGATCTTATAGAAGAATCAGTGAATGTGATGTCAGATCCTAAGAAATTACCTAGTCCAAGAAGAGAGACGCAGAACTGAGCTGGAGGGACTTAGTGGGAAAAGATGAAG